ACTATATGCCACCACACTATGAAGTTCTCTTAGACAGAAATGCTCTTTTCAATTGATAAACCAAGTAATGCATTTTATCTCATTTTACATTGTTGTAGAAGAACAAGCATCCAGAAGACAAAAATGGTACATTATTACAATTCTCTTGGGATGAACAAATCTTTATTTATTTTTTATTTTGTTTTGTTTTTGTTTTGTTTTAGTTTTGATACAGGGTTTCTCTGTGTAGCCTTTGCTGTACTGGAATTCACTTTGTAGACCAAGCTGTCCAGGAACTCAAAGAGATCCTCCTGCCTCTGCCTCCCAAGTACTGGGATTAAAGGTGTGTGCCACCAACTCCTGGCAGGAACTCCTTCTCAGACTACATGCAAAAAAATCTGGGAATATATTTTAATTTCAGATCTGATGAGTAACATGTGGTAAATTGTTTATTACTAATGAAATTTTCATAGGAAGCAGCCCTCATCAATAACTCTTACTTTTCTGTTGTCAATGAGTTCTTTACTTTTTATCAGCCCAGCATTCTTAGCTCTTGTCCCAGGATGTTTAGTTAGAAAGTGAAAGAAGCCCAACATAGAAAAGAGAAGGAAAGAGATAGCATGGTAGGGAGGAAGGCTATTTTTATTACAGTTAATGGCATTGTTTCATTTTAATTTACATAAAAGTCAAAGGGACTTATTCAAGCTGGAAAACATGCCCAGTTAGGCAGCAGTTAGGATGTCTTTCAGTTCTCCACCCACTATTTTACCCCTTGTTTATTCTTTGGTTTCTTTTATTTCTAGATCATGATGTATCTCAATCCACCTTTACCAAATGTGCTTGTTGTAGAGGCAATTAGTCATTTACATCAGTGTGGATCTAACAACACCAACCAAAGGCCAAAAGCTCTATGATCTCATAGCGTCTCCCCACATACAATCACATTAAATGTTTCCACCAGTCTGCAAAGCCAGATGAGACAGACACTTACAGGTTCATCTTTATCCATTGCTTTCCAAACGAAGACAATGAGTCACATGTGACTGAAATCCCAGATCCGTGCCAGGAGAAGTAACCATACACTGGATCTAGAAGTTGGGGTGCCATTTCTGTGTACCTCCATGGCCTTAACAACTCGTTCAGGCTCCTTGGAGTCACTATACCCTCAGGTAGATTGAGGTGTTCCAGGGTAGTTCTAAGTGTGTTGTGGAAGTGATACACAATCCCACTCAAGCTAAAGACATTGTAGAGAGATGGGGGTGTGTGGAAAAAAGTATTTTCTCAGATGATATTCTGCTGGGCACAGTTTGACTTCATAGTCAAAGTATGAAATATAAAATGTAGTAATTCTTAAGCTCTACAGTTTCTCCTTTTGTCATTTTTTACCCTATCCAAAGACCAGATGAAAACACTCCCTGAGGTAATTTTGTTATTCAAAAATATTTGGACATGAACTTGCCTATTAATCACTATTATTGGCAGCTATGCCATGTTTGGAAATTTAGATGTCTTACTACAGTGATTTTTCAATTATTCGTATGCAACAAAATCACATGTTTGTCCCATCCACTCTTTCTGAGTCAGGGAGTCTAGGTGGTGCTGAGTCTTGCATTGTGAATAAGCCCTAAATGATGTTGAAGCAGGTACTTTGCTCAAGAGGTCATTGAGATGTTGTCTGTGAGTCAAGCTCTGCTGTTGGTCACAGGAGCAATTATCTCTAGTATGACGAGCTTTTGATCATGGCTAATCTCAACTGAGATGTTCTGGGAACATAAGTTATATATCATTCTTTGACAAAATGATACAATGAGATGCAAATTTTCACAGTATTTTTTGATTATTAAATGTTGAAGTAACAGTTTTCATAGCTTACATTTTTTTGTTTTTTCCTTTATAGTGAGAATAGATTTTTTGTTTATTTTTTGTTGTTGTTTTTACATCCCAAAGTTTCCTCTCCCTCCCTTCTTGCCAGTTCCTATCCCATTTCCTGTCACCCACCTCTCCTCTACCCCATCTCCTCCTCCTCCTCCTCTCTTTCTCTTCAGATACAGGTGAGCATCCCATGGATATCAGTCAGCCATGGCATATCAAGTTGCAGTGAGGCAAGGTACCTCCTCTTCTTTTAAGGATGAATGAGGCAATCCAATTGGAGGAGCAGGTTCCAAAGCAGGCAACAGAGCCCCTGGTCTCACTGTTAGGAGTCCCACATGAAGATCAAGTTATACACTGTAGCATATATGCAGAGGGCTTAGGTCAGTCCCATGCAGATTTCCTGGTTGTCAGTTCAGTCTCTGTGAGGCTATGAGCCCTGGTTAGTTGGTTCTATGAGTTTTCTTGTGGTGCCATTGATACCACTGGGTCCTATCACCATTCCTCCCCCTCTTCCACAGGATTCCCGGAGCTTCACCTAATGTTTGGTTGTGGGGCTTTGCATCTGTTTCCATCAATTGTTGGGTGAAGCCTCTCTGATGACAGTTATAGGTTACACACCAATCTATGAGTATAGCATAATATCATTAGGAATCATTTCATTAACATTTTGTTGTCATCTGTGTTTGATCTCTGGGGTATCCTGAATCTGGGTCCTGGCCCAGAAGCAGGAGCTCCCTTTCAGGGTATGGGTCTCTAGATGTGCCAGTCATTAGCTGGTTAGTCCCCCAATTTCTGTGCCATCTTTACCCCAGCATATCTGTAGGCAGGAGAAATTTTAGGTTTGAGGGTTTGTGGCTGAGTTGGTGTCCCAGTCCCTCCACTGGAAGTCTTGCCTGGCTACAGGAAAAGGCAAGTTCAGGCTCCATGTACTCCATTACTAGCAGTCTTAGCTAGGGTCATCCTCATAGCATCCTGGGAGTTTCCATAGCTCTAGGTTTCTAACTCATCTAAGATATGCCCCAGATTCCAGTTGTCTCTCCTAGTACTCTCTTCTTCCCCTCCCCAAGCTAATCCTTTCTGTTTCCATCCCTATTCCCTCTTCCAGGTCCTTCCCCCATCCACTGGCAATGTCCATTCTGTTTTCCCTTCACAGTGAGATTCATGCATTCCTCCACCTGAGCCCTCTTTGTTACTCTGGGTCTGCAGGTTGTAGCATGGTCCTACTTTACTTGACAGCTAATACTCACTTATGACTTTTGTCTTTCTGGATCTAGTTTACCTCACTCAGAATGACCTCAAGACCCAGATACACCATTCCTAAGCATATAACCAAAGAACATTCCACTATACCACAAGGACACTTACACAGCTATGTTCATAGAAGCTTTATTCATAATAGCCAGAAACTGGAAACAACCTAGATGTCACTCAACTGAAGAATAGATAAAGAAAATGTGGCACATTTATACAATGGAGTAGTAGTTAGCTGATAAAACAAAGATAACAGGAGATTTTCAAGCGAATGGATGGAACTAGAAAAGTTCATAGCTTAGATGTAATTAATTATATTACCAAAATTAATTTCACTCATCAGTTTGATTTGATTATCATTTATTTCTTAATGTGACTACTTCAAAGGCTGTGATTATGTATGTGGTTCATACTTCATCAGCTTTAGAGAACACTGTCCAACTTAAAAGGCTAAAAATAAAATAGAGATTAGTGAAAAAGAAGATTCAACCACCACCATCACCACCACCACCATCACCACCACCACCACCACCACCACCCCCTGAAAAAAAAACACATTGCTGTGGAGTTGGACAAGCAAAGAAATGCTACCTGTTGGTTTAGGTTTTGCCTGAAGGTTCCAATTTGCACCTCAGCACTTGTCATAAGTTTAATGTACAAATTCCATAATATCCACTATCTTACATGTCTTTTAGCTTTAATTAAAAGCCTTATTATAATTCTTAAAACCAAGCTGATGTGATGGCTGATCCAAGCCTGGTAACATGAGTTCAGTCCCTGGAGCCCACATGGTAGAAGGAGAGAACTTACTCCTGAAAGCTATCCTCTAACCTTTACACATATGTGCCATGGCCTTCAAATACCCACATATACAACATAAATACTAATTCAATCAATCAGTAGTAAGATACAATAATTCTGAAAAACAGACTTAAGATTATAATAACAAATATTTATTAAAAATATCCCCCAATCTTTAAAGCTCGGAGCTGTCTTTCCTTCAACTGACCTGACTTGCCCTTGAATACCCTTGTAAAAGGCTATATTTTCAATGTGTATTTGTCTTCCAACCCTCTCACTTTTTACCTGTAACTATTATGAAACAGGAGTGGAACAGGTGGTGACATTCTCAGTCTCAGCACCTTGCAATGTTTAAGGAATGACAGAGCAGGAGATTGAATTTCCTCTTGGAGGTCACTAATGAGTCTCCTAGAACTCTAGTCTTGTCAGACTTCACTTGGGTCCTACAACTTCTGTAGCATTTTAATTAAAAAAAACAGAAAAAAAACCTTGGGGCTAGAGAGAAGGCTCATCATTAAAGAATATTTGTTGCTCTTGCAGAGGACTTGGTCCAGTCCCCTAGCACCCACATGACAGTTTACAACATTTATAACTTCAGTCCCAGAAGGCCTAATCCCCTCATCTGACTGTGAGGGCACTGCACACATGTGATGCTAATATAGTTGTGTACACAAAACATTCATACAATGAAATAAATCTAAAACTCATTAAAAGCTTGTGTAAATAATGTATACAAGAACACGGTCCCAAAAACTGCATCTAGGACAAAATCAGATAGTCTAAATGGCCTTCTTGACATTCATTCTTTTAGGGCAGCAGGTCCTGAAGTTCTCAAAATGCTGAGTGAGTCCTTCAAATGCTACTCTCCTCTGTTTTTTATCTGGGCAGCTGAACCACATTAACTAATTGTAAGACTAAGAAGTTATATTTTGCCATAAAGAATCCATGACTATGTTCCTTTTCCTACGAGTTATTTTAATGAGATCACATGTGCCTTGCTTTCTTGGGATTAATATTGATATCCCCTATTGCAGGGCCTGCTTTTAATTTTCTTTATCAACCATAACCTACTCTTTTCATACCATTTCACCTTGCAGCAACATTAAGTGAACAGGATTCCAGAGAGACTTCACAGCTTTTGGCTATAATGGAATGAAAGGAGCTAATCCAGGTAGGATCTAAACTTGTGGCCTCAACCTCATTGTCCTAAGGCCTCAACATGGAAAGATACTTTCCTTCAGTGGTAACTTTATAAAGAAAAAATTAAACTGTTACTGTATAGACTATATGTGGAATTTCTTTATTTATCCTTCATTTTGTTGTTTTTAATTAAAAACTTCAATATAGGATTTTAATAGTATGAGCTAGAATATTAATTTATACATAAAGAACTCACTTAATAACATATTCTGCTTGCCAAGCCAAGGTGCCTTCATCTCCAAAAGATGTATATTCTTTCAAAAGAAATTCGAGGATTGTCTTAAGTATATAATTTCCCTTGAGGATACAGAAGCCTGAAGAAGTTGAGTGCCTGGATGAAGTTCACCCAGATAGTAAATGGAAAAGCCACAATCGGAACTTCCTTTGTCCAGGGCTGGTTTGCAAATTGTAGTTTAAAGAATATTCCTACTGTAATAAAAACATTGAACAATTTGGACAAATGTATGTAGAATATTATATGCTTTCAGCTTTTAGATTTAAGTGTTATAGCTATGTGGTTTATGTATTTAAAACCTTAATATAAAACTATTATCATGTAGACAATAGTTCCTAGCAGAAAACTCATGATACATAGTCTATAGTTTTAGAAGGGTCTAAATAAGCAATGTTTCGACAGACTAGTCACTTTCTCTTCCTTAAAAAGTGAGGTTTTAAAACGAAATAAACCAGTTTCAGCAATTGAATCAGAATTCACACACACAAAAAAAATCTGGGGAGCTGAGGCTGGAGAGCACCAAGTGTTCATGCAGAGTTCCATTCCCAGCACACACATCAGGCCACTCACAACTGCCTTTGACTGTAGCTCCAAGAGAGCAGATAACTCTACTTCAGAACCATGAACACCTGTGTTCACATGCACATACCCACCCAGGTACCCATATGGTTAAGAACGAAACGAAACTACGTTCATATGTGGAACGACACAGATGTTTCTGAGAAATCCACAGTGGTTATTCTTTGTCATCCATGGACTAGGACTGCCATATGCAGGCTTTACATCAGAACTCTGTTTTGTCTCCTATGGCCAGGCTGCGGACCTAATGAAATGTGCTGACTGTAGTGGAGAAATTCTGTGAGCTCATCAGCCTGAAGAATCTGAGTGTGAAAAGACAGGAGCCCTTTGTTTGCAGGCTTTCATCCCGTTCTTCATTTCCTTCCTTCCCTAACATCCAGAGCTCTCAAAGCTCTCCTCACCCCTTAACATACAGAGAATATTTTCTGCTAATGCCTGAGTGGCAAATGGAGATTTTTTTTGAAGCACAATAATTTGACTTGATCACATATCTTTGATCCCTACCAATTTTATTTCTTTTTTGTTTTTGAAATAAAAAGCAAGCAAAATGAAACCAAGGGTTTGGGATAACTGGGAGGAGGTGCCTGGGACATGTGTTATTTTTCACTAAAATTAGAAGTAGGGTTTTCTAGATGGAAGGATTTATCTTATTTCTGAGAAACTAAGATACGGGATTAATATTTTACTGTTATCAACATTCATAGGCCAGGTTGAAAGGAACTTCCGATTTCCTCCTCGCAAGGCTGGAGTTGGGCCAGTGAGACAGCTTAGTGGGTAAGGGCTGTAGGCACCAAGCCCCATGACAAAAGTACGATCACCAGAATCTACAGACTAGAAAAATTTCGAGAATGGACTTTCTTAAGCTGTCCTCTGACCTGCAGTTGTGTGCTGTGGCATGTGCATGTACATGCATGCGTACGCACACACAGACAGCTTGAAACACTCAGGCAGGAATTCTTAATACCCAGATAATCAAAAATGCTTGAGGAAATAAAGGAACACACAGCAGCCATAAAATATACACAAATTGTTAAGAAATATGAACACATAGTTTTATTTTGTTTTAAGAAAAGTAATAGACTCAAATTTTAGTGCCAACTTCTTTGAGTTAATGAATTCAGAGTGAATAATTACTGCCAGTTGTTCCCCGAAATGTTGCTGGGGAAGATGGACATATAGAAAAAGAAAAGGCTGTTTTCTAAAGTCAGATTTATGAAACAGACACAAGAAAGAAAGTGGGTTTTGAGTAGGATAGTTTATTGAGCTGTCCAAAACTGCAGAGGACAGGTAAAGAGGTCTATTCCTTTGTATATGAGCTACTTCTAAACAAGAAAAAATGAAAATGCGACTGCTTGATCTTAAAGATCAAACTCTACAATGATTAGCATCATTATTAGCATAGGGAATTATGGAGTATGTTTTCTGTTTAGAATCCAAACTCATTAAAAATAAAGCAGCACAAATTTAGATAGGTCTTGAATTACCTAAAAACTTCAGTATTAACAGTCTAATCAGAAGTATTGGGAACTTTTGTATACTAAAGAAGAAAAGAAAAATCTTTTGTCTTCTGCTTGCTTCAGGGAACCAACAAAAACGTGAAGAAACCCAGATACTTACAAGCGCAAGCTGACTGAAGGCCCCATCTAACTCATGGTAAATTTGTTCAGCTGCTTCCAATTACATTTTACCCACACTCAATGAAAAACAGCTTAGAAGTTTTAAGCCCTTTAATGGCAACATGAGAAATTTATCACTGCTAAACCTGTTTTGTATTCTTTCATGCTTTCCCTACTGATGGGTGTTCTGAGTCAATGCTTGTCTTGCATAAAAAAAAAAATACAAAAACCCAGGAAAGCTTCAGATAGACTATGTATTGAATGCTATTTGAAGTTAATGACCAGTACTTTCTCATAACTCATTTAGTTGTAAGTTTAATGTTTATGAGAATCACTTCCCATCTTACAGATGATGAGACTGAGACTAACATCCAGAGACATAACCAGAGTCACACTGTTCTGGAAGTGACACAGAGTGAGCCATTAGAAATATTTCTGCTCCAAACCATTCTTCCCTGACCTACAGAAAAATGGCATATAAAATTCCTGTATATCATAGAGCCTGGGCAAAGGCAATGACAAGACCTAAAATTAGATGGTCTTTCCTTGGCTCTTTAACCCTTATTGAAAAATTTAACTGCTACATAAATCCATAAACTATCCACCTGGCTGCAGTGCCATCGTATTTCAATATGTGTGCCCGTTGTGTGATGACTAAATGGGGTCAAATGTGTCTATATCCTCAAATGTTTCTCATTCTCATTTCTGTATGAGAAAAAGCATTCAGAAACCTTTCTTTCAGATTTTGAGATGTGCAGTACTCAACCATCATCCAATGTCATAGAACAATAGAATTTCTTGCTTCTACCTGACTGTCCCTTAATACCCACTTGATTGCTACTATTGTCAGCATTTTTTTCTTTTCAGAACCCAGCTCAGAGGGTGGGAACAGAAACGCCGCTGCTGTCTGTGTCTTTCAGTTCTCATTTTCCTAAGATTTCACAACTCTTGCTCCTCAAGCTGCTTGCCCAAACAGCTTCCTTTTAGCTCCAAAGAAAAAAGAGCCCCACTACCATTGCTCCTTTACCTTCATTGAAGGCAGGTGCCAATAGCAATAGTTCCTGCATAAACTGACATGATTGTTCTATAGCATGGTTAAGGAGGTTTATAGGAGACAACAGCCAGAGGCATCTAGGAGAGTCCAGAGCAGAGAGAAGTAGACTGAACGTGGCCAGCAGACTGGATCCGGCCATGAGAGAAGCAGGAGTGAGCAGAAAGAGTGAGGGGGAATAGGGGAGACGAGAGAGACAGAGGGGAGAGCTAGAGAAAGGAAGAAATAGAGGCGGTAGTCAAAAAGTGAGAGGAGGGGGGAGACAGAGGACATCTGCAATAGCAGGGTTATAAGCCTTATGAGTAGCTGAGGGGAGAGACCCGTGAGCTAGCAGGAGTTTAGGGTGGTGAGGAGATCAGAAGGGCTAGGATGCTTGCATGGATTGGAATGTGTAACAGGTTCTTATGTTACTGAAGGAGCCTGGAGGCCAGCGTGTACTTTGGTACACTAATAGGTACCGCAGATAGCCGTTTGTCCCTGGTCTCTTTTGGAATTTGGGGAAAGAGAGTGTCCTTTGGACCTGACAGTTCCATTTCCCATTCTTCTCTAAGCTCCATGTTTCTCTGGGAAGCCTTATTAAAGCAGTGTGAATGCCAGAATGGAGAACGTCATGAAGCCCTGCCATTCAGAAAGGCCCAGTGCACATTCAGACCCACATTTTGAAGAGGTTATTCAGTGTCTGTAAACACCCAATTCCCACAGATGTGTTGTAGGCATCTGTGAAGAGGGAAACGTGCAAGCATCATGTCTACCACCTCTTGGCTGGTTGGTTTGCTGCCTTTATTGTCCCCACACCTCCCACAATCTAAATGCTTTCTGTAAGTTTTGGTTCCCTCTTCTCAAATAACCCAAGCTTGTGCTGAATTAACAACAACAACAATAAATCATTCAGGACATTCCCCTAGCTGTTCAGAACAATTATTTACACATTAACTATTAGCCAGAGTAAATCAATTGACGTGCAGGAGAAGCAGACCTCGGCTTGTAAATTGGACTCCAAATCCATGATTATAAATTTGTCCTTTCATTTTCCATTTTTGTTCTAATCTGGTAGTCATCTCAGACTTCTCAGTACAATTTTACTCACTCCAAACAAAATTAATGGAACCAACTGATTTGTGTGATGTCAAAGTAGGGTTAAGAGGGGAAAAGGAAGGAGGGGGGAGTTTCTTCCTTGCTCTAGCAATCATGGCTCCCAAGGGATTGTCATACTCTAAGTGAATTTCTTTCTATTTTTTGTTGTCCTTATTCTCAAGCCAAGCCAAATATCTCTATTCTTTCTTGGTATAGAGTTCACTTTGGCCTCTTTCATTTTTTAAACATTCATTAACCTTGACATTTCTAAATATTTTCCCAAACAAAATCCAGCTACTTCCAACTACATATGAAAGTAATAACAAACAGGTAAATTAATCCCTACTAAGGCATGAATGATTACTATCCCATAAAAGTTTTTATGAGGTAATCAACTTGCATAAAAATATCTGTCTGAGGAAATTATACTATTAATTTGCTGTGAGTTCCATAACTATAAGGAAAGCAATGAAAAGCAAAGGGAATTCCTCCTGATTGAGAAAAAAATTAAGCTATTTCCCTCAAAGCCATGGGTTCTATCATTATTTTGGCCTTGCAATTTGTACTGTTTTATAAGCCACACATGTCTCACATGTCTATGGGTTTTCTGCCTTGTGTTTTCATTTTCTTGTCAATATTGCCATGTTGATGCTGGATGTTTTCCGTGACACTTCATGAGCAAACCAGAGCATAACTCATGGTTGATGCATCCTATAGAAAGTAGTCTCAGGCCTGTACACTCAGAAGATTCAGACCACTTGCCATTCACTCATACATTGTACACTTTCAATCACGAGACCATCATCAGTCAAGTGGACAGGATATGCCCAGATCCTTAAAGTGTCAAAACATATGTCCAACTTCCAAGGCTACTTGGAATAGTTGATAAGACTTCACAGAAAATATGGCACATGGAGTAGGTAATGCCTATGTGTAGTAGCTAATGTCCCTATCAGTGAAAGGAGGGAGGGGTTTCAATTATATAAAGCTGTCTGCAAAGGAAAAGATAATGAGGGTGGAAATAGATACTCATAGAGGGACAATAGCTTTAACTGCCCAGGAAACTTAAACATATCCCTTCTTTTTGAGAGTGCTATCCCCTCAAATTCTACAACTGAAGTCTTCCTGCATTGTACTTCGATAGACAAGAGTGTGGATGCCAAACAAAGCCATGCTGAGAAGAACAATAAACCATATTCCTGTTGCTTTTTTTCCCCCAGAGCACAGTGTTATAATGAAACCCCTTGCCACATGCTTGTAGGAATCCGATTATGACATCACAACAGAATCTGTATAATTAACACCATGGCTTGCCAGACTACCCTCACCTCACAGCACTCCAGCTCTACACCCTGCCATGCTAGTCTTCTTACAGAGTCTCAATATTCCTCACAGCGCCTCCTGATGGATTTACATAAGACACATTGTGTGTAATTTTAAAATCACATGTGAATAGCTTAAGTGTTGGTCATATGAAATGTTGGAGAAATACCCACAAAAGTCTCCATGGAACTCCTTCACCAAGCTTCTAAACATCAGAATACCATAAACAACTGCCCCCACTCTCCAGTAAGGAGATATGTTTTGGAAATAATTCTGGTCTAACCTGTTCATTTGATACCCTCACAACCCAAATAGCAAATTAAATAGTTAACTTCAGCATTAAGTCTGGAAAGGGCCAATAGGAATAAAGTTCAGAAAGGCCTTTTGGTAGTCTGAGTTGGGAATTTAAAAAGTAAACAGCTTCACCCTGAAGCAGCCTGAAAAATCATGGAAGGAATTTTATTCCCCAAAGTATTAAACCTTCCTTACTACTCTGCTTAAACCTATTCCACAGTGACCAACAGCAGCTGATGACTTAAGGGAGAGTGCTATGCCCAAGCAATGATTGAGAGATGAAATAAATTGGTTAAAAAAGAAGATATGTATGCAACATACTCTTAAAAGTCTGTTAATCAGTCCTGCTCATCCTGGAAACAGCTCTCAAGTCATTTGGAATAGCTAATTTAGCTTGGTAGTGTTTTCCAATGGCTTAGGTTGTTGTCAATCAATTTGGAAGCTAGGATTTAGAAGCCTTCAGAGATTTTTGACCTAATATTTTTCCTAAGACTAAAAGTCTTGGAGCTGTGGTTGAAAATTAAAATTGCTTATTTGCAATAGGAACTTACTCGTTTTAAAATAATTCTTTGTTTTCTCCAGGTGCATTTTGATTAGCGTATGAGAACAACGAACCCCCAAAGAGCAATATGTTCCTTAACTCCTCGACTGAAGATGGAATTAAAAGAATCCAAGATGACTGCCCCAAAGCTGGCAGGCACAATTACATTTTTGTCATGATCCCGACTCTCTACAGCATCATCTTTGTGGTGGGAATATTTGGAAACAGCTTGGTGGTGATTGTCATTTACTTTTACATGAAGCTGAAGACTGTGGCTAGTGTTTTTCTTCTGAATCTCGCCCTGGCTGACTTATGCTTTTTGCTGACTTTGCCACTGTGGGCTGTCTATACAGCTATGGAATACCGCTGGCCCTTTGGCAATCACCTATGTAAGATCGCTTCGGCCAGCGTCAGTTTCAACCTCTATGCCAGTGTGTTCCTGCTCACCAGTCTCAGCATTGATCGCTACCTGGCCATTGTCCACCCAATGAAGTCTCGCCTCCGCCGCACGATGCTCGTGGCCAAAGTCACCTGCGTTATCATCTGGCTGCTGGCTGGCTTGGCCAGTTTGCCAGTCGTCATCCACCGAAATGTATTTTTCATCGAGAACACCAACATCACAGTTTGTGCTTTTCATTATGAGTCTCAGAACTCAACCCTCCCCATAGGGCTGGGCCTGACCAAGAACGTTTTGGGCTTCATGTTCCCTTTTCTCATTATTCTTACCAGCTATACTCTAATTTGGAAAACCCTAAAGAAGGCTTATGACATTCAGAAGAACAAGCCAAGAAATGATGATATCTTTAGGATAATTATGGCGATTGTGCTTTTCTTTTTCTTTTCCTGGGTTCCCCACCAAATCTTCACTTTTCTGGATGTGCTCATTCAACTGGGCGTCATCCGTGACTGTAAAATCGCTGACATCGTGGACACTGCCATGCCCATCACCATCTGCATAGCTTATTTTAACAACTGTCTGAACCCTCTGTTTTACGGCTTTCTGGGGAAAAAATTTAAAAAATATTTCCTCCAGCTTCTGAAATACATTCCCCCAAAGGCCAAGTCCCACTCAGGCCTGTCAACAAAAATGAGCACTCTTTCCTACCGCCCTTCAGATAACATGAGCTCATCGGTCAAGAAGCCTGCATCTTGTTTTGAGGTGGAGTGAGGGGTTCAGAGTCTGCTAGTGAAGTGATACACTGACAAAAAGAAGCCAGAGCAGCTTTTGGCTAGACAGTTCACTGCCAAAGGGATGTTCAACCCCCGCCACAGAGAATGGACTCGGTGAACTGTACATGTTTTCTAAAGCACGGAATGAAAGCTTTGGAATAGGAGCAAAGCCACTGTTCACCACTTTTGTCATTGACTGGATAATAACTGCTCCAAGAACAATGTCAAACACTGAGTGACTATGGATTTTGAAAAAACGTACAGGTCGAAAAGCAATGTCCCTTGTCCCCCTCATTCTGTTACTTTTGATTTCCTCACAAAGGTATTTAGAATATATTAAATCTGTAGACAAACTAAAAGGAGATGCGAGGTCAGCAGCTTCTAAGCTTTTCCATCTGTTTAGCTACTAGTGACTATGACACTATTGTCCCTAAGATTTGCTAAGCAGTAGCCATCAAGTTGCAAAACTTTCTGTGAAGTTCAACCAGTAGCTCAAGAAACCACACTGCCAAAATAGTCTTACCTGTGGATAATGATGCTACAGCAGTCGCATACCAAAGTTGACCCAACAGTGAAGCAGTGTCTTCCTAGGCAGACCAGTCTTCATAGACTTTGTCAAGCAGATTTGTCATAAAATATGTCTTATTGTTCTAAAAATGTATATATTATATGTGTATATGTAGCTATATCTCAAAACTGTTGTTTGATTAAAATCTAGCAAACATATTTATCTTGAAATAAAAGTTTATCATAATGTATTTAATCTTCACTACTTAAGACACACATTGATTTAATTTTTAATTAAACCATGAGTAGACATGAAGATATTTTAAGTTTGATTTAATTATAATAATATGGGTGCTTATAAATTTTTATTACATTTATTTACACACGCCCCAAAGCACACATGTGAAGGTCAGGGGATAACTTGGGGGAGTCAGTTCTCTCTGTCTGCCATGTGGGTTCCCAGGAACCAACTTAACTTATCTGACTTGGAGGAAAGCAAGAAGATGTAACCACCAATTCAGTGGACACTATACATTTTTAAATCCCACTTTTGAAAAGATATAGAAGAAAACACTTCATTATAATGAATAATGTGGAATAAACATCCTTTTGAAATTGTCAAAGTTATTCTGTATAACAGAAGAAAGCACCCACCCTTTATAACATAAAATAATACATTATTTTACCTATAATTTTCAATGTTGGTTTTGACTAATTATGTAAATGACCACTGTAGGAAATTTAGGAGATATATAAAAATGATAAAATAATAAGTCTTATTGAGTACCCCAATGCACACAAAAAAGTTGATCATGTTAACATTTCAATCCATTTGCTTCTGATATTCTATGCTCAGGCACACACATAGATTATTACATTGACTCATAATAAGCATAGAACTTTATATTTTTCTCTCAGGGTCATAGCACAGTTGCTTCCTACCCTAATAATTTTTCCCAATCATTGTATATTTGATTATTACCAAGTAAAGACGTAATTCCATGTAGTTAGCTAATCACCAATTTGGAACCTTTTGTTTTGTTTTCAGTATTCTAACTTTCACTAAGATGAACATTCAAGAACATGAATGTGACAAATTTCTCATCCTCTAACTAGTATAAATGAGTATAAATAATATACAGTTGTAAACATTACTCAGTGTTTTCTAAAATATACAAAATAAGTTATCGTGTTGTCAACTGTTTGACTCAGCATCATGAGAAATTTACAAAAGTCTATTGTAAGGAGTCTCATGTTATATACAAGGGTGAAAACTTGATCATATTCCAAAGAATCTGCTGTAACATAATGTTCCTATTGGCAATTGTATCGTTCTTCAACCTAGAGGCTTCATGAGGTCAACTACAGAAGGCTAAGATGCCTACTCTTGTCCCTCCCCAAAAAAAATAAAGAAAGAAAAGAAAACTGTACCCAAAAGATTTAGTGATATATAAACCAGCTGACGAAAACTACGGTGAAGGAATTCCTTTAGAGAGGATCTGGTGTACAAGGCAGAATGTCCACCAACAGCCTCTTGCATTCATTCTCATTGCATAATGAGTTCTTTTCTGAACAGGTGGTTATATACACTTCATGTTATTTTCTCTTGGATTATTTTAAATTATGCTAACATAATGCCTACCATCTACCAATGTTCTTTATTTTCCACAAAGAATCACCTCCAGACATTAAATTCTAGCTCACCCCAAATTATAGGGTAGACTTACTACTACACACCACCACCAATAACAACAACATCAGAAATATCAGAAATCAACAAACACTGCTCATTGATATCTGCCAATAAACTAACAGAGTGGATGCAAAACAAACCTTACCATGAAGGATAAGACATCACCTTGGGGTGAAAGACTGAAAACAGATGTTCCAAGAAAATGGACCTAAGAAGCAAGCTGGTATAGCCATTCTAATATCTGACAAAATAGACTTCCAACAAAAAATAATCAGAAGAGTTAGGAAAGAACACTACATACTCATCAAAAGAAAAATCCACCGAGAGAACATTAGAATTGTAACATCTATGCATCAAACACAAACAAATGACACAAAACAAAAAATGCTACCACAGCTTTAATCACATATTGACCCTCACACACAGACAGTGGGAGAATTCAATATACCACTTTCACAAATAGGCTAGTTATCCAGATGAAAACTAAACAGAGAAATGCGGATGCTGACCTTATAAACCAAATGTACCTAACAAATACTTATAGAACGTTTCATCCAAACAGACAAAAGAGTATAGTTCTTCTCCATAGCTCATGAAAATTCTTCTAAAACTGACCACACACTCAGACACAAAGCAAGCCTCAACAGATATAAGAAACTTGAAATAACACAAATTAACCTAACTGAGGACCATAGAGTAAAGCTGAATATTACCAACCATAGAACCAAAAGAAAGCTTACAAACTCTTAGAAACTGAACAACTAACTTTAAATGAAAACTCTGTCAAGAAAGAAATTAAAGTCTTTGTAGAATCAAATGAGAATAAATGCACAACTTTATTGGAAAGTTCATGGCACTAAAGGCCTACATATTAAAAAAAAATAAGAGGGGGGAATCTCATACTAGCAACTTAGCAGCACATCTGAAGGCTACAAAACCAAAAGAAGAAATCACACCCAAAAGGAGTGGAAAACAAGAAATAATAAAACTCAGAGTTTATATAAATAAAAGACAAATAGAAAGAATTAATGCAAAGAACCAATGAAACAAAGACTTGATTACTTGAAAAAAATCAATAAGATTGACAGACACTTATACAAATTATCTAAAAGGCAGAGGTAAAATATCCAATTAGCAAAATTAGAAATGAAAAGGGGTATATAACAATAGATATTGTAGAAATCAAGATAATCATAAGGACATACTTTAAAAACATGTACTCCATTCAATTGGAAAATCTAAATGAAATGGATAATTTTACCAATATATACCACTTGCTAAAGTTAAATCAAGATCAGATAAGTATTTTAAAGACACATATAACTCCTTGTGAAATAGAAGCCTTCATTAAAAGTTTCCTAATCAAAAGGACCCAGGGCTTGACAATTTTAGCACAGAATTCTACCATACTTTCAAAGAAGAGTTAATGACAATGCTTTTCAAATTAATTCACAAAATAGAAACAGAAGGAAAATTTACCAAATCATTTCATGAGGCATCTGATGGGAAAATGTGACCTTTGGACCTAGTAAAAGCCTTTTTGCTCTAACAATTCCATTGCTATCTGAATCCAACAACTTCTGAATAATGATAACATACACAGACATATATTCCTCAGCCTAGTTCCTGATGCTCCTATGTCACATAAAGTATCTTTTCAAATACAATCTCAAGAAAAAAAACTGTGTTGAACCTGTCAATCTTTCAGAGCATTTTATCAAACATGATTATTTTTTTGATTCATAGGTGTTCAAATTGATAATTTTTCAGAAAACATTAGCTTTATGTCTCCAAAATGGCAGAGACGGGTAGGAAGAGGAGGGAGTTGGGAGGGAGGGGAGAGAGGGAGGGAGGGAGACAGAGAGAGAGACAGAGAGACAGAGAGAGACAGAGAGAGAGAGAGAGAGAGAGAGAGAGAGAGAGAGAGAGAGAGAGAGAGAGAGAGAGAGAGAGAGAGAGAGAGAGAGAGAGAGAGACTGGTCTGAACCAACCACAAGAAGCCCTGCTGGAATTCCCCACATAGGGGGTATGCCATATATGTAAACAACTGAGCACACCTGCTGCTCCTCATCCAGTAATTTGGGAACAAGAATCCCCACATGGAGACCAGATCTCACTAGTGGCCTCCTGGCTATTGCTGATGCAGATAAGTGTCCAAATAGTATTGTTTGGAGACAAAATAAAGTATATCAGCCTAGAGGATATGTCTGATGTTGTCTAGATAGTAATTGCCGCTCTCAGTCATTCACAAAGGAATGAATAACAAGGGAAAAACTTTCCCACTGAAAGCATTACCTTTACTGCTCTTGCTTGAGCCTTAGATCATCTCTGTACTCTTTCAGAAACATCCCTATTTCCATTTGGTTGCTCACTCAGTGCAGCATCTGATGGAAGATGTGAGAAGACCTATGTAAACTGGGCCATCATATGCTGGCTACAATGGTGTAGGTTTGTGACATAAACCCAAGCATAGAAATTTTCTGAGTTTGCCTGGAGCTCCCCAGCAGAAATATTTACTCTTTCTTACTCTGACTAAACATAATTATTTGGGCACTTGAAATGGGGATCTGAAAATTTCCAAGAACTTTTCCAGCAAGAATAAGAATGCAGTAATATAGTGGAGAAGATTGGACAAAATCTTCAAGAATTGACTGTGCTATTCAGACTTCCATTTGTTTTGCTTTTCTTCAGGCAAGCTTCCCCCAAAGCCAGATGAGGATGGATTTCCTTTCTTGTTATTTGTTACGCTGTATGAAACAGCCACAGCTCTCATACATCAGATTCTTCTAGAGCACCAGCAAGAATTCTCTGCTTACAGAAACTGTCTTACTAGTCTTCACAAAACCAGTCACTTAGTTCTGTTCTTATCCAGTAGAAAAGAGGCTTGAAGATTTGCATATTTATTAGTCCAGTGCAATTCAGCTGTTGAGGATGGGTTTAAAACCTGGACCTGGACATTCTGACTCTAGAATCTGACTGTGTGCTCCCTTTTCATACACTCATCTTTCCCCTGAAAAGTGAGTGGCATCTCAAATTCTGAACCTGGGGGTAATTCTAGAAAATGTTGTTTGTATCTCATAATTCAGAGTTAATATATTTCTCTTTGCTCCCCATTTACAGGATTTCAAGTTATAATTTTAATGGTCTTTTCCCTTGAAAATTGAACTCACTAAAATGTTGCACAGCATAGTGCTGAAAATTTGCATTAGGTTACAGAAGGTCTAGCAAACAAACAAATTGCAACTGTTAATGGTCAGAAACTAGTAAGATGCCCTGGTACCTTTTGTAGCCAAGAAATTATATGACAGTTTTACTTTGACACAACTTAACAAAATTACATACTTTGGAGGAAATTATTGTAAGAGACTACATTATTTTCTGAAAAAGATTTTTAAAAAGAAATTACAGTTTAGATTTAGTGAAGAAATGACCAGGGATGGTAAAAGCAAAGTCTTGATTTATTTCAACTGAACACTGACATTCCAAGGATGACAGTGGGACTATCACAGGTTTAACTCTGAAGACAGTTCTGACAGCATCTTTAAAAGCCACCTCAAA